ACAGCACTGGAGGGTTTGAACTATAGGGAGAGGCTGAATAGGCTGAGGCATTTTTCCTGGAGCATCGGAGGCTGAAGGTGAACTTATCAAGGTTTATAAAATCATGAAGGGCATAAATAAGGTGAATAGCCAAGGTATTTTTCTTTGGGGGCGGGGAGCGAAAACTAGAGGCCACAAGTTTAAGGTGAGAGGGGAAAGATTTGAAAAGGACCTGAGTGATAACATTTTCACGCAGAGGGTGGTGTGTGAACGGAACGAGTTGCCACAGGAAATGGTGGAGGCGGTTAAAATTACAACATATAAAAGGTATTTGAATTGATAAATGAATAGCAAGGGTTTAGAGGGATATGGGCGAAATGCTGGCAAATAGGACTAGGTCAGATTGGGATGTCTGGTTGGTGCAGACAAGTTGGACCAAAGGGTCTCTTTCTGTGCTGTATGACTATAAATGAAAGTTGTTTTCTTTCTGTTTTATCTTATAATATGTTATTTTTAATAGTGTTCAACTTTTTTTTTCCTTTTTTACTTGCAATGTGTTATTTTTGACTAGTATCCTTTGGAGGTGAGCCCCTACTTCCTATATTCTGTTGTTTACACTTTCATTAATGCAGTTATGTACATTTTTAGGAGGTGAAAAAAAAGGTAGTGTTTCAATTTGAAGTATAGTCATGTGACTATTGAAAAAAAAGGAGAATATGCGAATTAGCAGGTTTTAATGCTGTTTCCTCAAATGCAATTTGCTTTAATGGAGTGTCTTTGACAAAGAATAATGTCCCAAGGGATTTCACAGGGGTGGAATCAGACAACATTGAACAACAAGCCAAGGAAAAGAATGTCTAAGGATTCGTGAAAGTCATAGGTTTTCAACAGAGATAGACATGTGCAGCATGCAAAGTATACAGAAGAACTTTCAGAGCATAGGGCCCAGGTGGCTGGAAGCATAATTGTGACAAAGGGAGAGAAGTTCCATGAGACCAGAGCTGGAGCAGTGGAGAGTAGACCCTGCTTCTCAATTATGAACACAGGTAGAAAATACTCAATCAGAGACAATGACAGTTATTTAGTTTTGTAAGTAGAAAAACAGGGGGACCTCATGTTCAGAGGGAGAACAAGTAGGGCAGGTATAAGTTATTTTACTATGGACAAACACAATGACGAACAATGTAGGGAAATGTAGCACGTTCAATATTTTGTATTATTGTGACAGCCGCCAATTAAATCTCCACTAAGTTTAGTGATTAGAATGTGTTTCAAAACATTTTTTTAAAGGCATGTTAATCGTGAAAGTTGATCGGCAAGTTCCTGAGTAGGAATAGGTTTTTATCATTTGATCATTTACATCCATCTGAGAGGTCTGTCAGGGCCTTGGTTTAATGTCTCAGCCAAAAGACAGCAGCTGCAAAACAGCAGTACTCCCCAGAGATTACACTACATTGTTAGCCTTTATTCTGTGTTCAAGACTCTTGAATGCAATTTGAACTCACAACTTCTGGCTAAGATGCAAGAATATCATCACTGAACCAAGGCTTTGATTTATTCACACGTTAACACAACAAACACATTTCCACTTGCCTCAACCCCTTTATGATTACAAAGTGTCTGAAAATAAAGTCGAAACAAAATTACTATTTTGTGTAGTTGCTGAATTGTGATGTAACTGATTGGATGCAACAGTGTTCAAATATTCATTTCATACTCTGGCTCAGTTTGGGGTGTCAGACAAAGGTGCTGTTGCCCTGGAGTGGGATTTGCTTGCTCAGTTTTTATTAAAGTTAAATCTTTTTCTCAGACATTTCTTAACAGTTTGGCTTGAATTGTGACACCCCAGGGTATACCATTCCATAGACAGACATTGGGCAGTATGGGTGCATGGCTGAATCTAGAATGTTTGGACCACTTACATGAATAACCAGGTTGTAATATATTTGACATAATATACAACATAAGACCCTAAACATGAAACAGTACACTTTGATGCATGCCAAATCTTCTTGTCAAGAAGCAGCAGATAACTGTTGTTTTGCTCTGGAACAACGATGATGGACAGACCATGGGATTTAGCAGCCCGCAGGGTTTGGAGAGTCCGCCAGGTGCATTGTGTTTGGTCTTGCTGACACTATTTGACCACAGCATTATTAAAATTAGGTTAAAAATATGCAAGCATGTAATGATCATGCTCTGATATAAAGAGACAAACAAATTTAGCCGGTAACAGGGAAATGATGAATAGGATATTATAAAGGCAATTAAATTAAAATTATACTATAATTATGGAAATTACAAGGAGGGGCGGGGAGCTGACCTAAATTTTAAATTGTCTCTGACACGGGGGAGGTACCAGTGGAATGCAGATGTCTAATGTGGTTCCACTTTACAAGAAAATTGGTAGATATTGACAAGGAAACTATATTCCAATGAGTCTAACATTAGTGGTAATGAAATTTTTGAAGAAAATAGTGAATGAAAAAATAATCTCCATTCAGAGAGGCAAGATTTGATCAAGGGTAGTCAGCATCATCAGCAGAGGGAGGTCATGCCTAACAAATCTGGCAGAATTTTCGAGGAGGTGACCAAGTGTTTAGATGAGGCTAGGGCAGTTGATGTCATTTATATGGACTCCTGCAAGGCCTTTGACAAAGTCCAATATGGGAAACTGATAATGATGGTAAAAGCTCATGTGATCCAGGCAAGTTGAGGATCCAAAATTAGCTTAATGACAGGAGACAGAGGATGGCAGTAGAAGATTTTCATGTGACTGGAGCCCTATGTGCAGTGGCGTACCATTGTGATCAGTGCTTGGACTCTTAGTGTTTGTGATATTCATAAATGATGTAGATGATCATGTAGCAGGGATGATAAGTAAGTTTGTGGATGACACAAAGATTTGCTGGGTGGTTGACAGTGAGCAGTAGAGTGTTAAGTTATGGAAAGATATAAATGGTTTAGTCAGTTAGGCAGCTCAGTGGCAGATGGTTGTTTAACCCGGACAGATATAAGGTAATGCAGTTTGATAGATGAAGAAAAACAAGGGAGTACTCAATGAATGGCAGGACACTAAAAAGCTTACAGGAACAGGGAGAACTTGGGTTGCTTGTCCACAGTTTGCAAAAGGTGGCAAGATAGATTAACAGTGTAGTTAAGAAGACATATGGGAAACTTGCCTTTATCAGTTGAGGCATAGATTATCGGAGCAGGGAGGTCATGCTGGAGCTGTACTGAACTTTGGTTAGGCCACAGCTGGAGTACTGTGCATAGTTCTGGTCACCATTACAGGAAAGATGTGATTTTACTGAAGGGGATGTAAAGGAAATTCACCAAGATGTTATCTGGGATGGAGTATTTCAGCTCTGGAGAGAGGCTAGAGAAGCTCAGTTTGTTTTGTTTGGAGCCGAGAAGGTTGAGAGGGTGAAGCTTGACAGAGGTGTATAAGAATATGTGTGGAATGGATAGGATGAATAGTAGTTGTTCCTGATAGTCGAGGGATCAAAAACAAGGGGCCATAATTTTAAAGTGAAAGTCAGGAGGATTAGAGGGGATTTGAGAAAAAAACCCTTTGCAACAAGAAGGTGTTTGGGGTCTGGGATGCACTGTCTGGCAGGGTAGAGGAGGAGGAGATCTCACAACCTTTAATAGGTTCTTGGATGAGCACCTGAAGACTACGGGCCTAGTGCAGCAAAGTAGGACTATTCTAAGTAGTGGTGTATTTTAGGCCAAACAGAATTGATGGGCCATAGGGCCTTTTCTGTACTGTATGATGCTATGATTACAAATTAATAAAACTTTACATGATAGGCACTAAAGTATATATGTTTCATCAAGAGGAGGCTTAATAGAAGCATTTAAAATGATACGTAGGCAGATGGTATTAGTTTAGAATGGCATGATGTTCGGCACAGACACTGTGGGCCAAAGGGCCTGATCCTGTGCTGTAGTGTTCTGTGTTCGATGATAAGAGGTATTGATAGAGTAAGTGTTTTCACTGTCAGGAGAGTCACAGATTTAAAAAATTGAAAAAGTGACCAAAAGGGAATGGAGAAGAAGTACTTTGCGTATCATGCAATGCCTAAAAGGAAGATGTTGCAGACCCAACAGGCATTTTCAAAAGGGAATTGGTTAAATACTTGACAAAAAAAAATCAGGGCTATAAGTAAAGAAGACGAAAATGGGATTAATCAGATGGCTGTGAAGGAGTCAGCACAGGCACAATGGGCTGAGTGTCTTCCTTTTGTGCTTTTGATTCTATGATTATAAGTGGAATGTATTTGATAGAAAATTCCATCTTTAATGATTACAGAAGATCTAGCAAATTTCACTTCAGCACAATTTGGAAGGCAGGGAGAGACATTTTTGTGACAGTGTACACAAGTTTTAAAAAGTAAAATGTTGAACTTATTATTATTAATACGTGTCCTTAAAGAAATGGCTTTAACATACTCAATGCTTGCAAGCTTTATGAGAGCTTTTGACAGCAACATTGGCCAAAGTTCGCCCAGACAGGTTGAAGATGGAAGCAACAATTTATCATTTTTGTCGAAGGGCATTGTATCATCCACTGTGATCTTGCGCCAGCACCCCTGAGAGGAGACAGGAAGACCAACAGTCAACTGGAAATATAGTTAACAGATGAGTGCACCAAACCAATGCAATTCAACACAACATATTGCAGCATGCCTGCTGTGCACGAGACCTACAGCTGATTGACACAGTGATTCCTTTAATGAATAGGATGAGGCACTGTGACTACAAATCACATGGAGATATTCAACCTGATGGATGCAACAAATTATTGATGTCTTCTTCAACATTTAGTATTAAGAGGATTAATCATTTAACCACATTCTTTTTGCTTTTGATTCTTGCCACTTATCCCATTACATGCAGGCACAGAAACAGGAATCTTTCACTACTATCACAGCGAGCCTGCCACCATGATGCATTGGAACAATCTGTGACTGACTCTCCCTCCCTCTGTGTTTTAATAGAAACACTCTCCAGAGCTGGGTGTTACCGGCAATGGCCATATTTAATGACTATTATGTTGCTGTTAGTGGTGAGCTAAACCAATTGTAAAAAATTGGTACAATTGAGTGCCTTTAGTTCAGAAGGCAATTAGGAAGTAATCAGGTTGCTTTATGGTTGGATAAGAGCAGCAGACCTCCTTCCTAAAATTCATGAACAAACCAGTTGAATTTCAATGACAATCCTTTATAGTCACTTTGAATAAAATCAATTTTTTTCTAATTTTGTAAAGACTGTCTTTTTATTTTTCTGTATTTTTACAGGTGGACTAAAATGAGGAAAGAACTGTTTTAAAACCAAGAATTGCTGAAGGATTATGGCATGATCTTGAAAGCAAGTAATCTGACATTCAAAGATAGCAAGAACTGCAGATGCTGGAGTCAGAGACAACACAGTGTAGACAACCCGAAACGTCAACTTTCCTGCTCCTCTGATGCTGCCTGGCCTGCTGTGTTCCTCCAGCTCCACACTGTGTTGAACCTGACATTCATTGCAGTTACTGTTGACGCAGGTGTTGGTTCAAGCAGTAGTCGGAGAATGTGCAGACAAGCTTGAGCCAAGGGCGTGTAAAAATGGGAGATTCAGCCAGCAACAAATAACTTATTGGTCCGTGGACTAGTGATCAGTCATCAATGGCAAAGGCCTTCTGCCTACCGACAACAATGTGATTGGTTCTCTCATTGCTGAACAGCTTGTGAACAAGATACGGAGAAGCCTGAGACCTCCACCAGCTCAGAAAATGTCCCTGTTCTCTGCAGCAAAAACACTTAAGCCTGAAGAAAGCCAGTTTATTTTTCCTTCAGCAGTTGATATAAGCTTTGCCCTTTAATTATAAAGTCAGTGCCTTTTGTAAGTATAAACAGATTGTCCTGCAAACATGTTGAGGCATCCGGAGAAGGAAGATTGAGAAGCAACATTCTGATCAGCACAAAAATCACCTCAGAAAATCCTGTGAACAGGGACCACTGGACTACTTTCCCAGTTTTTTCCTTCCATTTGTAATACCCATGTTTTTCTTTTCTTGTCTATGTGTGTGTAACAGGAGGGTAGAATTTTAATTAGTAGAGTTATGAGTCAACAGTTCATAATTGTTTACTTGTAGCTAAAATCTATTTATTTGTATTAAATAGTGTTAAGTTCAGAAACCTAGTTCATGCTTTCTGTCAAACTGGATCTGAATATCAGGTAGATTGAGGAATTCTGTGAATTTATTTAAATCTTTAACTGTTGTGACAACTCCAGGAATAGTGGGGCTTGTTTTCCAGTGCACTACCCAGTTAGGTGTAACATTTTTGAAAATTATTTTCAATGAAGTGAAATCCCTTTGTTCATTAATCCAGTGTCAGAGTTTTGGAATAAGATAGCCTTCGATCAAGTCTGAAGACTTTGCTCAGAAAGTAAACACACATACCACCACCTTTCCTTAGCTCTTTAATTTAACCATTTTCTAACCTGCATATACTCTGCAATATACAAAAGTCACCATGGAACTGAAGGTAGGACTTCTGACTATCTCCCTCTTCAGACTATAGCTACTATTATAGAGCAGAAATAGACATTCAACCCAGCTAGCCTATTCCATCACTAAGGTTTTGGAGTAGATTTGTAGCTCGGGTTATGGGTGTTGAGGTTGGTTGGCTCGCCGAGCTGGTTTGTTGTTCCATCACTGAGATCACACACAGTTCTCTTACCACAACTTCACTTTCTACCTCAATTAAACTTAAATCTATCCATCCTAGTCTTGGAAGATACAATTGTCCTAGCATCTGCTGCCTTTCAGAGAAGGAGAATTTCAGATTTCAATTATCCTTACTGTATGAAAAGGTGTTCTCAATTTCTGTCTTGACTGGCCTAGTTCTAATTTAAAGATTATGTTCCCTTCATCCTGGATTTCCCTTCCAGAGGAAATAGTTTATCTCTATCTACACCAGAGTGACAACTGCACAGTCCTTGTGGACACAAAGTTCCACCTTCACATTAAGAAAAACCTCCATTGTGTTGTATGTCACTATCACCATGTTAGATGGGACAGAGTTCAAACACATCTAGCAACTCATGACTGGGCATCCATGAGGCGCTGTGGACCATTAACAGCAGCAGAAATGTACTCCAGCACAATCTGTAACCTCATGGCCTGGCATATCCCCCACTCATCCATTACCATCAAGCCAGAGGATCAAACCTGGTTCAATGGAGAGTGTAGGAGGGCATGCCAGGAGCAGCACCCAGCACAGCTGAAGACGAGGTGTCAATCTGGTGAAGCAACAAAACAAGACTACTTAAATGCCAAACCGTGAAAGCAGCAAGTGATAGGCAGAGCAAAGCAATCCCACAACCAACGGATCAGATCTAAGCTCTGAAGTCCTACCACATCCAGTCATGAATGGTGATGGACGAATAAACAACTCACTAGAGGAGGAGGCTCCACAAGTATCCCTATCTTGAATGATGGAAGAGCTCAGCACATCAATGCAAAATATAAGGCTGAAGCATTCGTGGCAACCTTCAGCCAGAAGTGGATGATCCATCTCGGCCTCCTCCAGTGGTTCCTAGCATTACAGATAGCAGTCTTCAGCCAATTCAATTCACACCACATGATATCAAGAAACGGTTGGAAACACTGGATACTGCAAAGGCTAAGGGCTCTGACAACATTCTGGTGAAGATTTGTGCTCCAGAACCTGCCACTCCCCTAGCCAAGCTGTTCCAATACAGTTACAACACTGGCGTCTACCCGACAATGTGGAAAATTGCCCACATATGTCCCGCACATGAAAAGCAGGACATATCCAACCTGGCCAATTACCACCCCATCAGCCTACTCTCGATCATTAGTAAAGTGATAGAAGGTGTCATCAGCAGTGCTATCTAGCAGCACCTGCTCAGCAATAACCTGCTCATTGACTCCCAGTTTGGGTTCTGCCAGGGTCACTCAGCTCCTGACCTTGTTACAGCCTTGGTTCAAACATGGACAAAAGAGCTGAATTCCAGAGGTGAGGTGAGAGTGAGAGTGACAGTCCTTGATATCAAGGCTGCAATCATCCAAGTGTGGCATCAAGGAGCCCTAGAAAAACTGAAATCAATAGGATCAGAGGGCAAACACTTGGTGGTTGGAGTCATACCTGACACATAGGAAGATGGTCGTGGTTGTTGGAGGTCAGTCATCTCAGCTCCAGGGAATCTCTGCAGGAGTTCCTCAGGGTAATGTCCTAGACCCAACCATCTTCAGTTGCTTCATCAATGACTTTCCCTCCATAAAGGTCAGAAGTGGGGATGTTTGCCGATGATTGCACTATGTTCAGCACCATTCATGATTCCTCAAATACTGAAAAGTCCATGTCCAAATGCAACAAGATCTGGACAATATTCAGTCTTGGGCTGACAAGTGGCAAGTAACATTCGCGTCACACAATTGCCAGGCTATGACCATCACCAATAAGAGACAATCTAACCACTGCCCCTTGACATTCAACGTTATTACCATTACTGAATCCCCCACTATCAATATCCTAGGGGTTATCATTGACCAGAAACTCAACTGCACTCACCACATAAACACAGTGGCTACAACAGCAGGTCAGAAGTTATGAATTAGCAGGGAGTAACTTACCTCCTGACTCCTCAAAGCCTGTCCACCATCTATAGGACTCAAGTCAGGAGTGTGATGGAATACTCCCCACTTGCTTGGATAATTGCAGCCCCAACAACACTCAAGAAGCTTGACACCTCCCAGGACCAAGCAGCCCACTTGATTGGCACCACATCGACAAGCATCCACTCCCTCCACCAGCGACGCCCGGTGTGTACTATCTACAAAATACACTGCAGAAATCCACCAAAGATTCTCAGACAGCACCTTTCAAACCCACAACCACTTCCATCTAGAAGGCAAAGACAGCAGATATTTGGGAACGCCACCACATTCAACTTCGTGTCTGAGACAGTCACCATCCTGACTTGGAAATATATTGCCATTCCTTCACGGTCACTGGGTCAAAATCCTGGAATTCTTTCCCTAATGGCATTGTGGGTCAGTTTAAAATTTAAATAATTACAAGTTAAAATGACAGAATCACAGAAATCTCATGGCTGAAGAGGAGGCCACTCAGCCCATCATGCCTGCACTGGCTTGTTAAATGAACATCATTACCTAGAGTCAATCTCCTGATCTTTCCCCAAATGCCTGCAAATTATTTTTCTTCAAATAATCATCCAATGCCTTCTTGAATGCCTCAAGCACACTTCCAGGCAATGCATTCCGTATCCTAACGATTCAGTGAGTGAAAAAATGTTTCCCTGCTTCACCCTTTTTTTGCAGATCACTTCAAATCTTTGCTCTCTTGTTGTTCCTTTTAAATATTACTTTAATAGTCTTGGCTTTGTTTAATTTTGTACAATGAAGCTTATTCTTGCTATGAAATGCAGAATGTTGTGGCATCATTCTTTCAGCAAATAACTGGGAGTTTGAATTACTCTTTAAACATTAACTATCTCTGCAGAGATTGTGACAAGTGTTTTGAAGCTGCACTCATCCAGCCAAATGGAAAGTATTCCA